CTGTAAACGCCACAATTAATTTAATGATTTATTGCTGTAAAAGTCACATTAATTTAATGATTTATTGCTGTAAACGTCACATTAATTTAATGATTTATTGCTGTAAAAGTCACATTAATTTAATGATTTATTGCTGTAAACGTCACATTAATTTAATGATTTATTGCTGTAAACGTCACATTAATTTAATGATTTATTGCTGTAAACGTCGCATTAATTCAATGATTTATTGCTGTTAACGTCAGTAAATTACGAACATTTCAATTTTTGATGTTAAAAAGTACCTCCCCCTAAAGATTCATCCGATCGACTTCTTAAACATGTTTTTCTAAACTATTTATGTACCGAATTACTTGATGATTCGCGATCTTGTTGATTACAGGGCCCTTAGCAACAACATATAAAACCTAAACACTAATACCGTCAATATTACAGTTAACTTTACTAAGTACTGCTTCGGTCTCCCGCCTATTTTGCCTAGAAAATTGACCATTTATTAATGTTTTGACCTGTTGTTTTTTACCTTCAATGTTTTAATAGATAAATAAAAGAACTCAATATCATGCAATGTGTGTACCTTCACCGACAGTAAACAGTATAAATACAAGTGTAATTTGTTGATTAGCGCTTTTGATGTTGAAATAATCACAAAACAGATCGATTTTAACAGCTGGTTAGTTAAAGACAAGAAGGTGTGACTGGTTGAATTCTTATCTGTTAGTGACTATTGTTACTTCTGTATCAAAATCTTAATGACTATTGTTACTTCTGTCTCAATATCTTAATGACTATTGTTACTTCTGTCACAATATCTTAGTGACTATTGTTACTTCTGTTTCAAAATCTTAATGACTGTTGTTACTTCTGTCTCAATATCTTAGTGACTATTGTTACTTCTGTCTTAATATCTTAATGACTATTTTTACTTCTGTTTCAATATCTTAGTGGCTTTTGTTACTTCTGTCTTAATATCTTAATGGTTGTTGTTACTTCTGTCTCAATATCTTAGTGACTATTGTTACTTCTGTCTCAATATCTTAGTGACTATTGTTACTTCTGTCTTAATATCTTAATGACTATTTTTACTTCTGTTTCAATATCTTAGTGGCTTTTGTTACTTCTGTCTTAATATCTTAATGGTTGTTGTTACTTCTGTCTCAATATCTTAATGACTGTTGTTACTTCTGTCTCAATATCTTAGTGACTGTTGCTAAAAATTCTTTATTCTTTTTATACTCCATTCTGCGCAAAAATATCTTGTTTCAATGGTAAAAAATGACTTATTTTTTTCAGAACGTCAATCAGCTTTTTATTAAATTTCTGATTTGTTTTGTTTTTTTCTCGCCAGTACTGATTTCTTTGCCTCGAGGGAGATAACAACCTAAAAAGTCTCTAAGTCGTAAGTGAAATGAAACGCCGCAAAGCATTAGAATGTTTTTAGATCTTAACTGGCTGAAAACAATTTTTAGTAAGAGCATATGAAGTATACTTTATCTGATGTAGGCTGCTGCCGATGAGTCCTTTCTTTCAGTGCCATCAGGTTTCATCAACCCATTGATCTAGAATATACTAACCCCGAATTGAAAGAATATGCTAACTCCGAATTGATGTATTTAAAGAATATACTAACCCCGAATTGATGTAGTTAAAAGATATACTAACCCCGAATTGGTGTAGTTAAAGAGAAAAGTATTTCGGGGCAATAAAAAATTTAATTATACTGGTCACTAGACATTGGTATTAAGCCTATCAGTTTTATTGTGATGCCTCGTTCATACAGTTACCCTAAATATCAAATTGCTTCGTTGATCCTACTTTACCAACCTTATCTCTTACGCCCCAACTTATAACTTCGTACCCATCCTCTGGTATACTATACGAATCCCCATCAATGGATAATAATTTGTTCAAATTCTACTGTAAAGAACTTCGACTCGAAATCCATATCGAACCACTGATGAACGATTTGTTGTCAAGTTCTTATTATGACACGCATGTCTGCTATCATATCAAGGTTCGTCATTTGAGGCGACCGACACCACAAGATTTGAAATATCTTCAAACGACTGATACAGATATTATCCTTTTTAGTTACATCCTTTTTTTTTAATGTTCTAATCCGTTTCGCCTGAAATGCCTCGTTGCAAAACAACACTTGTCAAGAAGTGCCTGCAATCAGTCACACGCAGTTTAAATTTTATTTTTCACAATCTTTTTCTTAACAAACCAGGCCAAAAAGTAAAAACATTTTTAAAACAATACCATGTTTAGTGATGCGAGTTACTCATTAGAAATGATACATCACACACACACACACGTATATATAAGTGTATTTCACACAATCCATGAATGTTATTTAGTAAGCACGAACACTCTGATGTTAGATAGATTTTCTTTCTAGAAATATGAAGTGATTATTTTTGAATTTATCAGTGAATCGAACAGTGTTATAACGTACTATCGTACGGGCGAAGACAATATTTTGAATGAATTGAAGATTGAAATAAAAAACATCGCCGCTTTACTTGTAAAATGTTTAATTTAAAAATAACAAATATTGGTACGTTTTGTGGTTCATATACAGTCTATGGAAAGAAAAAAAAACCAACCATGACAAGAATTCTCATTTCTTACTGATCTTTCGAAGGAGTTTTTTTTCTTCTCTTCTTTGTTTGTTGAAACCGAGTCTTATCTGTATATGACAGTAATCTACAAAGTAACAACGATAATCTCTCTCTCTCTAATAACGTTTTTTCCATAACAACGTTCCGACTTTCCGAGTAATTTCGCTTACCACTTCTTGAAATCGTTTTTTTTTAATTTTTTTTATCATTTAATTCCAACTTCACTACAGTGGTTCCTGTTATTCGTTGTGGCTATCTTTTCTGTCTTTTTTTTTCTCCAGATTTTCATTCATTAGTTTGGGAATTCTTTAACATAATACTTATATTTATGTTTGTTATCTCCATGATATTGAAACTTACTTCTTCCAGTAGTTTGGCTAATGAAAGTAAATTAAGGAGTTTCTCACTAGTACAAGAATTAATTTCAAGTTATGAATAAAAAACAAACTGTGATTCAGCGCTTCTTGACATAAAATAGGCTTATATTTTTTTTTCTGTTGATTAAGCCGGCATATTTTTACACGTGACGTCACATTTACTGATTTTTTTCTTTTCTTTCCTTTCTCTGTTACTTTAATTAACAGTATTGGTTAGAATATATTTATCATTATATTCTTATAGAAATTATTTTGCATTATTTGCTTGATATTTGGATGACTTAGAATTAACTTAAATCTCCTAAGCTTGTCGAACCTCGTGATATTATTGGGATTACGGCCGAAAATATCACAACATTGAGGGCCCCCGAATAATGAAATAATGCATTCTAATATATTTACATAAGAAAGTAAGAACAGTATATTTGATTTGCCGTGCTCATTACGAGATTGGTGGTCTGGCATGGCTAGATGGTTAGGGCACTCGATTCGCAATCTGTGGGTCGCGAGTTCGAATCCCCGTCCCACCAAACATGCTCTCCCTTTCAGCCGTGGGGGCGTTATGGCGTCACTCCA